CGAAAGCCAGGCATGTTCACCTTCGGGGCTGCTAAATCAAGAGAAATGGTCAAAGCACAGATGAGTGGATTTGATCATTCACCTAGGTTCTCCTTCTCCTTGACTACCGCAAGTTACCACAGTCTAAGAAGTCATGTTGGGGGGCGCCCTTTTCTTGCATGAAGAGGGTCCAAAGCCGAAAAAAAAAAGTAACAAAAAGGCACTCCCTAGAACGGTGAATGTCCATCAGCCGTATTCTCCAACTCAACATAGCCGCGACGAGCGACAGGCTGCTGTCTGTCCACTTATCAATGGTATCCTGGCATCCTGGTCACTTTGTGATCCTAATGATGCACTGTTCAACACATTTGGCATCACTCGCATCACCAACGCCCTTATAAACACTACATGTTGCCCACGTGTCTTTTCCATCAAGCACTCCAGCCTAGCCTATCCGCTGGCTTTCGTAATCTGTGAATATGTATGTATATATACATATGTATATTACATGGGGCTATCTGGTCAGCACATCTATATAATATACTGCATACTATGTACTGTGTATAAAGCAATGAAAACGATTCACGCCACCGAAATTGTTTACGCTTGTTGCAAAAATGATCGCCTGAAGTCCATGTTGCCCTTCCCTACCACCATGACAAAAAGAAGCTCTCTGTAGCTCTTGATCCACTCTCCGAGGAAAAACACGCAGAAGTTTCACTAGGGGCCACAATTATTGCCGGTTGGCCTGTTCTCGGAGGCACCTTTTGCCATTGGCCTTGGCTATGAGTACAAAGCCGTTGGTTGAATTGATGCCTGGTCAGTCGTTTCTTTCCGCCCAAATTGTTTGAACGACATCGGTCCACCCAGTTGTTACTTGCTTTGCACAGTCGTTTGTATCAAGTAAGCCCATCCCAAACGGATTGTCTGTTTGTTGAGCAATGCTGCTTCCTCTGCGGCGATGCATTCATCAAAATCATTAAACAGTATTAAATAACCACCGGACTCTTGGAATGATGCAATCCTTTGGAAGTCTGTGTTGGAGGTAATAATATGAGAGACCGTAAGCATACAATATGATCCTTGCAATTGAAACTAATCACATCTGTTTGGCATTACAGTAGTCTGGATTACATGATTACCGCCCTTTAAAAGGAAAGTCGAACTACATACAGTAGATTATTGGTGTCAGCCTGATTTCCCGAAGAACTGGCTTGAGAGCTAGGCCAGATGGACCCTCCTGGTGCGCCCACGCAGAAGGCCAACTTGTTGAATGGATATTCACAAAGATTTATATACTGCACATTCTGAACATAGTATCTTGTTGGTAGCACAAGGCTTACGAGTGTGAGGCTCTATTATTGGATGGCTTGGTGGCTCTGCTCTCTTTTCTATGACAGGCACAAGTCCTCTTGTAGCTCAATGCCAATGTCATCAAGTTCCTGGCACTTGCAAGTGGATATTCTGCGAGCAACGTGACCGAGTTCTCTGCGCCAAAGAACAAAGGTCTTAACGAGTTCTGGGCAAAAAGTTTGCTCACCCAATATGATCCACGCAGTGTGCAAAACAAAAATACCATACGTGCAGGACATGGAATGCACCTGGCCTATACAAAAATATATATAAATGTTATGTGCCGTGGTAACTTTCAAGAAGAATAGGTATTCTAACTTGGACAAATCCATCAAATCGGGAAAATCCCCAGTGGCGCCTCTTGACTGCTGGCCCTTGGCGTCTTCGTCTGCTTCTCGAAGAGCTTCGCAAGGCCGCCCTCAGAGTCTGACCATTCGCAGTCCATTGGTTTGATTTCCAACCATTTGTCAGATCTGGGGCTCCGGCTTCCGCCACCTCTTGCAGCTCCTCCAACGCGTGCCTGAACAAGTGCTCAGCAGTGCTTCTGCCAACGCGTCTACCAGAGGTGTCGGCAAAAACATCCGTTTTTGGTCATGTTGCAAATAGCCTCATAGCACTTTATAGCTACTGCGCGAATTTGATGCAAGAGGAAAGGAGAAATCACCCATTCAATGGCGAGACCTCGGTTCAGGCACATAGAAGAGGTACTCAAAGGCCTCAGGTGTCTCTGAGCCTTGGGAGTGGCGGAGCATCAATGCTGCACTACCCGAATATTAGGCCCTTAGGCAGTATGAAGGAAAATCCATGAGCAAATGTTGCAAGGACAATTTGTGACAATTTCGTTCTGGGCAGAAGTTGTCTGGCTCGTCCGTGGTATTCAAACTGGCACTGCGCAAAGAAAAATTGTCCAATCTGAAACAAACAAATAGAAGAACAACAAAGTATTCTCTCCTCACCTCATTCTCATGCCTTCAAAGTTGATCCATGGAAGGAGCCCGCACGTTCCATCAGTTGCTCGAAGTGGAGATGAAGGCTCCGGTGATGCAGCCTGGATTGAAACAGCTGGTGAACCTGCTGGTAACGTTCTCAGTAGCATGCATCAGTCATCGGGTGCACGGCTGGGTGGTCTTGAACTCTAGCAACTTAGTTTTCACTGGCAAATAGTCCCACCATTCATGTCTTCGCTAATACAAGTTTCCGGCCTGGTCACCTGTACAACTTTGATCTTGCTGAAGTTGAAGACAGAGAAGTCTTGGGGCCTGCTACGCAAAATTGAGAAACCAAAAGCCAGCAACTTCAAGGGGGTGCTACTGGCTGCTAGAATTTCTCAAAAACTTGAACAATCCTGATTCGACTCGCTCCTGAAACGGCTCATCACCAAGTCCCGGATCTGCGACGTATCCTCCACTTTCTCGAAGCGCACCTGTAACTTCCAGGGGCAGGGGGTAAAAGACCTCACAGTTGGGTTTCTTTAGTGCTGAGGCGAAGGGGAACAAAAAGTTCTTGGAGAACGGGGTTTCTATGTAATGTAGACTGTTCAGCGGCTATAATATTGTGACCTCCAATGAAGACTTGGCCCACAAACATGCTACTAGTACAAGTGTGTCCCTACCCCTTCAACTACCTGACAGTATTGCTTCGAAACCTGCCATCTCCAGGTCCATCGAGAAAGGACACAAAAGTGCACCAGCCTTCGTGGTCACCCTGATTCCACCCCTAGCCCTGGCTATTTCAGTCAAAATGAAAGAAGTAACTGTAAAATGAAAGAACAAGAGGTTTTTTTCATGGTCACTGGACGAAGGAGAAACTGAGCATCAGCACGTTTCCACCGCTTCGGAGCTCGAGAAGGAGACACCTGCGATATCGACCTTTCTCCTCTTTCTTGAAGTTTAAGGCCACAAATGTGTGTATTTAACCAATATAACCGAAACCGCTTGATCTGATGTGAGATCTTTCGACTAACTCGAACTTCGAGCACAAGAGATCACAAGAGTACAAAACAGCTGGAGTGGCCTGATCTGGGCGTCCAGGGACTGGCGCACGGATTGCTGCAGCCGCTGGAAGGCCAGCTCTGCATCGGCAAGCTCTACCTGGTGTCTCCAAAGAACCCCAAGAGTAGAACCAAATGAAACCATTGGAAAACTGCATCAAGGAACATAAACCCTGTGCCTCACACAACTTCAACTTGCGCTCTGCTGCATCGAGATCTTGGTACTCTGATGTATCAGCCTGACATGACCAGGTTCTTGTCGCGGCAAAGGGGCCAAGGGGGCACACAGAAAGAAGTGCAGCACCGTATCAGCAACACCTGTCTATGTGCATCTCTTTGTTCCGACAGTGAAGCGACGGGCCTCCACCCTACTAGCGATGGCCTCCAACCTAGAAGCGACGGGCCTTCACTCTCTCTTTATATAATGGTCGGTGAAAGAGCAACCCAAAAATCGTCCACCCACAATGACCTCGTCACCGCCATTCTGCTTCCGGCTTTGCTGGAAGGCTGCAGCCTCGACTCACGTCCAAATTCAAAGGTAAGAAGCTGAAAGCAACAGGTCTAGTGGGTCTTTGACCCAACACTTGGGTGTTTGTGTTTTTTTGGCTGTGGAGGGTCTCAACTTGATGTGCCAGGAACACCACTCAGAGGCATCCAGAAATCACAAAGCCTCAAAAAGCCGTCTGAGAAATGTTTAGCATGGGCATATGCGGCGCATGGTGGCATATGTGTACCGAGTGTCGGTTACATTCCCTGCTCCGGTGAGTCATGCAGTCCGTGTCCGGGGTCCCACCCTCCGCAGGAGGCCCGCAGCATTGGCGAGGTCTTGGCCCAAGGTGTTGCGCCGCGCCTTTGTGGTCGTGCAATGTGGCAATCTTTTCTTTAGCCCGCGGGGGGGGTAGGCTGAGGTAGCTAGTAGAAGAGGTAGCTGCTACCTTACTTAAGCTACTACCTAGGATGCAGGATAACTCGCTATTGATTTGGTTGATAGATTTTTAGGGAAACTTAACTATATTTGGGTCGAGGTCAGGCGGTGATCCGAGCAGTCAGAGCCCTGGATTGGTCTAACTTGGGATTCAGGAGGAGGAGTAGTTCAAGGCATGAGAGCCGAGAGCATCTTCAAACTTGAAAGAATAATTTTACGGTCCGAGACTGAGCCGGCATGATAGATATGATAGAGACCCACTCTTCAGACCAACAAGTCTGACCGAAAATGGATCAAAAATAGCATTGCATAATTGCATCGAAATCTGCGCTGTCGCCTCATTGATGATGTTCGCAGCCCTTAAGCAATCCCCAGATTGGCGCTGCCTGGAGTGCAGGGTCAGCTTGCTTCCGGGTGTTTATAAGCCGATGCAAGTCAATCTCGGCTTCAGTAGCCCGTCTCCCGCTTTTGTGGTGACCGTCAATCAGTCTTCGCACCAACTGCCCCAGGGACCAAACAAGGTCTTGATGCGCATGTTGTAATAGAGACCTCAAAGGAGCTTTCAGAAAAAGAAAGAGTACAAGCGAGAATCCGAGCTTGGTAGCCCGAACAGCATAAACTATATAGTCCCACACACGGCCATGAATGAAACAATATTATATATCGGACATATGTCTTTCGCATTACACAACTGTCAAATAGTTCCTTGCTCAACCCGGCAGTAACAGAATTGATTTCGGCTCACTCGGCTCCCTAGAGACTGCAGTGGCCAGGCTCCAAGCGTTTCTTGGCATAGGCTGCTTGAGCCACCTGATGGGCCTCTGCATCCACGTACATCTGATCATGCACCTGGATGTGCGATCGGACGCGGTGTATGGACATTTAAACCTCCATGCGTCACCCGAGATGTGTCACGAGACGACGCATAGCATTGTGTTTGTTGGGCTTGTACTGCATCTGCTGATCTCTGGTAATCATTTGTGCAAATGAAAGAAGTCCATCTGAGATGATCTGAGGATGCTAGAATTATCTTTTCTTGGAAGCGACATGGTCTGAGCTGCGCCTGCAACTTTGGCAAGTGGTACAGAATGTAAGTTTGGTAGTTGCACCTCAGGTGGCAGGTATCTTATTACTATCCTCTCCTTTCGCTTCAAAAATGTTCAGGCTACATCTAAGAGTCAAGGGCCTAGGGTTTGCCAGACCAACTCGACAGGATGCCAGTGCTAAATCAGCTTCATCAAATTCATCCGATTAGCACTAGGACGCTACTAGGGGCTGCTGGCATCGCTACTAGGAGCAAGAAGCTACTAGGGGCTCCTGGCCGTACTACTAGGAGCAAGGACGCTACTAGGAGCAGATCTTCCGCGATCCAAGGCGCAAGGTGCAAATAGGATTCTCCCCAAAATCTGGATCGGCGAAGCTCAGCGCCGTTAAGGAGTTGCGACGGGCAAGATCAAGTACCTGGTGAAAAGGCCAAGGCTGAACTCTTGATGTCAACACCTGTAGCCAATGCATTCTATACTAGCCTCTCTATCCAAGCCATGTGGCTGTGGGTCAAAACCATAATACCTTGGTTGACCTACCAATGTGACTTGCGGACTCTGTCTGAGCGCTTCCCACGACCCTTCATGTGTTGGAAGGTCAAGCTACATGGTGTTGGGGCTCCAGGTTTTGACCCATCCGCATGTGTTTGCATTTACAATAAGATTTGCCATGGAAATGCACCATGACTCAGCCACAACAAATGCCTTTTGAATACTGCTCTATTGCGTAGTTGCTCCAGCAAGTGGAGCTGCGGACGATACCTCCCGGTCCCAGCCTCCTTGAAAGAACAAAGCCGGTTTCCGGCCAAGTTGAGCGTCTTCAATTGTGGCAATTCATCAAAGGCACCCACGACCGAGCTCAGCTCGTTGCTGGCCTCAGAGGTCAACGCTCTCCAGCGCAGTGTAATTCCCTTTGTAGATCTTAAAGGTGTGCTTAATGCTCCAAAAGCAACATGTGACATGCAGGGTAAGTCACCTGTGTCTTTACCTTGGTTGCGCTATTCCCAGCATTAAGGTGCATAGCCTTAGGGGATGCACAAGACTTCAAAAGTTGTGTCTTCCTTTGGAAGAAATCCTGTTGGCATGTCGATTCTGTGGTGTCAGAACCATCTGTGTATCACTTTGAGCCAAATATCAAAGAACATCTAATGATTTTCCAACTTCTTTGATCTGCACACAGTCTGCAGGCACTGCTGCTCTTAGCCTGCTAATTTTGGCAGCAACATTGAACGCCAGAGACGTACCCCTCCCTTTGGCCGAAAGGCTGCATTGAGCTCGGTGAGGTTCGGCAAATCGAGACCCTCCAACGAGCGGAGCTGGTTTCCGGCCAGCCACAGCACCTGCGAAACTTGTGAGGTGCCAAAGGCTACCGCTTCAACCAGAATGGAGACGATTCTTTTAGCATAAGGAGGTTCTTAGGCTTGGATGCAGAATGGCTCAAGCTCAATGATTTGGTTCCTAGATATTTTGGATTTTTTTTGATACAATATATATATATATATACACGCTTTGACCAGGGTCTTGACACGCTTTCACCAGAGTCTTGAAAAAAAGATCTGGGTATACACGCTCCAAACGGAAAGTCAGTCTTTGAAACCGACTACATATATATATATATATATATGTATTTAGATATTTCAAGTGAATCCAGGATGGTCTATTTACATCCATCAGGTGACAGTCTCTTGCGGAGAGATCGCTCTGCGTCTTCTCTTGCTGCAAAATCTGCCCTGACATGAGCTCATCGTGCCTCACCATCCCTCACCAAGTACATAACTGTACATAACCCTTACGCTTTTGCGCTTCAATAGCCATCCGTCAGCCCAAATCTCCTAATTTGATCTAATTTGTACTGCCTCCAGGTTTTGAAGGTTTGACAGGCCCGGGCCAATCTCCTCAGAGCGTTGAAACACAAATGTTCTCCAGAAAGCTACGCATATCGTTTGCTCTCAGGACTCAGCACTCTGCTCAATTCCTGGAGACGTTCCTTGTGATGACCTATTAAAACCGGTCTGCGACATGCTTGTCTTCATATGCAGTCTTTACTTCGCTGACACACAGCAAGCCCTCCTTGATCTGATTGAACGGCACATATAGCCTCAGCTTCAAGCAAGTTTCGATCTGATCAAAAAGCTACTCTGGATGCCTGAAGTAAAGTCATATCCACCAACCTGGATCGACACTTCTCTAGATTCATGTTGACACCAGCATCCAATAATAGTATCCACTGCTTTGCACTTAAGTTCACTTGAGGCAAAGGTTCAATATCGAAACAGGTCGATTGGTTCTCATGGATGTGGCTGAGAGCCCAGCTTTTGGAGATTGGTGCAGCTCTGCAGGCCTTCGATCTTTTGGATGCTGTTCTCCTCAGACAAGAGCTACATCTCCGCGTCTCCAGGTTTTGCAGACAAATAGTGGGGTTGTCCAAGAGCAGTTGCTGAGATAGGACTTGCCAATGTCCTTCAATTCCTACTTGCTACCTTGGCTTGCAACTTACAGTATCCTTTTGCTGAGAGCAGAGAGCGCAGAAAGACTGACAAGGGAAAACTGAGAGGAAGAGACTTGAGACATACTAAGGTTCTCAAAGGAAGCACAACAAGTCCCAAGCACTGAGATCAGGTCATTCAACAAGAGACGCTGTAGCTCGGTACATTTCTCCAAGCCCTCGATCTTCCGGATGTCCTCACTAAGAAAGTGTTATTGCAAAAAAATCCCAGAACTACCCACCAAGTAGTTTGAACAGCTGCCTTGCTTAAAAAGTAAAGACTGAATATCGCAAAGACAGACCCTGCCTGCTGTATGAGACAGACCTTGCTGGAAGATCAGTACAGAATCATTTGAGCGACAGAACAGCTTCATTCCTCTGAAAACATAAAACTTGGGAAGGCTTCTCTGGCACATTTGCAATGCTTTTGTTTCAGTGTTTGCGGTCAATTTTTGCTGCGACAAGTGGCAGATTGAAGATATGGAAAGTGCGCAAGAGTGCGCATGCAGCAGTAGTCGTCAAGCACCTCAGGGGATCTATAGGGTGGGTAGAGACAATGAAACGCACGATCCTCCCCACATCAAATGTGCTAGGGAAATGTTTGTGTTGAATTGCCCTGCTAATGTTCTTTTGACAAGAGTGGTTGAAACGAGACGGCCAGCTCGGCAGCCGCCATGGCTGCGAAAGACCCAGACCCAGCAGTTCAAGAATGACCTGCCACGGCTTGCAAACCAAGCCCCTCACCATCTCAATGCTGGTGATGCGCTCCGGTGTGTGCAGGTCCTCCCGGTGTGAGATTTGGATCACAGCAGAAAAAAGAAAGTTGGGGTGAAAACCACGAACACAGAATGCAAACCTCAGAGTTTGAACGAGTTGACCGAGTGGCCAAACTCAACGATAAGAGGGCAAACGAAGCGACAATGCGGTTCAACGCAGTTTAGACTTGCCAAATTGAGTGCCTGCACTGCCTATACCAAATCCGTAAATAATGCATTAAAAGTATATAAATATAATTATATATATATATACATTCAGTTTCAGGCTGATTCAGTTGGTGTCAATACAGTTTACAGGCATAAAAAGCGCCTGGCAAACGCTACAGTCCAAGAGGTTCACAGCTCATGCCACGTGGCGCTCGCATCTTTCTGCCCGTCCTCTTCTCGAAAACCATTCACTGTGAGCAAGTGGAGGAGACCCTCCTGGGCACTATGGTTGGGTAAGAAAGAGATACTCTCCGACAGGAACTGGGCCAAGAAGAAAGCTTTGCTAGTTGTTTAGACTGACAGCATGCTATGACAGTCCAGCGCTATGGCCACAATATGCCACAATGGCTGCACTTCAAAATGCCACAAGGTCCTTAAGGTCTCGCTCAGTCCAGTCGCCTCCAGTCAAAAGGGGCTTCCCAACTGCCTACTGATCTCCGCCGATATCTATGTAATACAGACCGAGAGTGATCCAATCAGCCAATCTCATCCGCACACAGATTCAAGGCAAAAAAAATCAGACAAACATCGACATGGAGTAGGGCTCGTGACCAGGACCGATATCTATGACAGCAACTGCTGAAAACCCAAACCTTGAACAAGCCATCTCAATTGTTCTGACCATCATGCCTCGATAGGCTGAAGGGCGTGCCCCGAGTCTTTCAGTCGACATGCTTGAAATGTTGGAGCACGTGAGTGCAAGTGGTTAGTTTTGCCATCAGTGCCATCAGTGCTTCTACTGGGTGTAACCTAGTATCGCAATCCAAGACAATGAACACTAAGAGAACCTCCAAAGCTTGCACAATGTGGAACATGTGATAACATGTGTCCGTCACATCCTGTCATGCTTGATGCTTTGTTCCCTTGGAGCCAGAAACAAACGTCTCATCCAAGCGATGAACCGTGGAAAGTGAAGAGAGGGACGCAAAGGTGATAACGGCAGAACAACATCCACGACAATGCCCCTGAAGGCTTTCTTGGCTATGCAGTACTCAAGCTAGAAAGTGGTAGGTGCTGTCCAAGTGAGGGGATATTGAACCAAAGTATTCAGCAAGGCTCTCGCTGTGCTTCTTTCTATGTAATGACGGAAATGAATCACTGGCAACGTTCATGTACATGGAGCATATTTGGCGACGCATGAATGGGTGTCCGGGTGGGGAAATGCACCTGATCACTAATTAGTGTCCACCACTCAAATCATTGGGGACAATGCATAGGGCCGCCTAGGGACTACCAGAACCTCTGTGTCATGGTCTGCAAGACTGCAAGACGCTAGAACCGCATCTTTTCTCTAAAACTCAGAACACTGGTCGCACCGTCGCGTTCAAAGCCTTCGAAACTCACCTGCCAAGCAGCTCCTGTCTGAATTTACCGCCGGTAAGTCGCATTGCTCCTTCTTGGACTGCTTTGAGGTTGACCACTACAGACTACAGATCATGAGAAACACCAAATGTCCGAGAAACGTCATTGATCTCTACACACAAGACAATCACAATGTCTTGTGTTTGATGTCTACCCGAGGTTATCCAAGCGATGCATCTCTAATATTCTCTCATTGGAGTTCTCAGTCGTCATTTGCAGTCTAAGACTGTGCGTCTGCTGCGACTCCCGCGGCTTGGGCCCGCGGACTCCGTTGATCAAGTGCCCCGCGGAAGGTTTGCGCGTCTCTTTGGCGAGTGGCGGGTGGCAAAATCCTCAAAACAATTGGAAAAAAACGAGAACACTATGGTGTTTGTAGAATCTCTCCATGTCAAAAAATCCTGGGTCACTCCTTTTCAACTGACTTGTTAGTAGATTTAGTAGAATGCTTTCATCACAAGAACACACAGACAACTTTGGGGCATGATGGACCTCAAGACACTACAGCGTTGTGCTTTGAAGTACTTGGGGAGTGACTCAACTTGTCTATTTTACATTCAATACGTCTGCTAAATGTCTGGTGGAAAGGCGGTCGCTACATAGACTACAACGTAGTCACTATGTGAACGACGTCGAGGTTTCTCACAAATCGGATTCTGCCAGTGCATGTTGTTCAACAGAAGGACATAATCATTCGGCAGCTATGGCCATTCTTGCTTCGTGCCGGCGCGGCTCAACGACCGTGCTGCATGGTCTGGCAGTGAGACGAAGTGCAGTGTCCGCTGAGGTTGCAATGGTAAATGCTTCTGAGGTCTGCATTTCACAGTACAGCCCTTACCCAGGTGGTACCTCGTTGCACGCCTTGAGAGAGTGAGTGGGTAATGCAATTCATGCTCGAATTTAAGGGCTGACTGGGGATAGTCAAAAAAATTACAGTGGTTTAGTTTCATTTGCTTCAGCAATATGTGTTGACGATACGTGCGGGTGCTCCGATTCTCAATGTCCTGAAATCTGTCACAAATGTGTCCTTCCACGACAAACGACCCCGCTGTCAAGGCCAAGGCAAACAGCAACCAGCTACCTTTCTTTACGTGGCAAGGACATCCTTTTTACAAGGGGAAGTTGCCCTGTTGTTGGACGGATATCTGCCCAGTGTAAATCCCTACACAACTGCAATGACTCAAAGGCAGCTGGGTCTTCCTAAAGTCCACTAAGCCACTAAGCATGTAATTCAGTCGTGGTGGGGTTTCAGCTCCAGCGGATGCCCCCGTCACTCCAGGCAGATGCTGTCGTAGATAGACTCTCTGAAAGCTTGCAGTCAGAAATACCAGATTCGATTGCAGAACATGTTTGGTCAGTAGAACCTGTGCAGGTCATTCAGAAGCGCACGGCCTCTACGATTGCCAACATATTGATCCCATCTTCCGTCAGCCCATGCACACAAAGCACAGCAAGGTAATCCCGTTGATTGTGGCCCATCTGTATTGCTTCTCGGCGCAGGGGACTGTTTCTTGAATATGTTCAGAACCAAAACAACTGAATGCGGAGTCTTTCCTGTTGCTTTCCTATGCGTTTTGTGTGGCAAAACTGGGTGCTTGGCGGGGCGTGTGTTGGTTTCTGCGAGCTAGCGCAAATACCTGTATATACATAGTTTCATTGGTTTATGACCAACTCCCTGTTTTCTGGTCATTCTTGGTGCATCTAGCAATTTCAACTTGCATTCAAGGTCTCACCGATGATAGCATCTTCGCACACATGGTGCTCATTCCATCATCAACAAACATTATCCGAGAGAGAGAGAGAGAGGAATAGCCATTGAGGCTCAGGCCACTGTTCATCCTCTGCTCATTGATCTGGAGAGTTTTGCAGGGTGGTCACTGGCATCATGAACGAAAGAAGCTTCATGGAGTCTTCAAGCAGCTAGACTGTTAAACGACCAAAATACTTGGAAAATATGTGAGTCCTGACCGCAAGCTGCCAGATTGCAGCCACTGACAAACCAAGCGACCTGCAGCTGAAAACTGGCCCCCAAGCACCCGTATGTCTTTTCTCAGTTCTGCTTGGATCTCCTAGGCATCATGTCTTATTGGCTCAAGTGAGACCAGTTCTCAGTGCACTTCTCTGCCTTTTCACAGAACGATTCAAGCCTTGGGAATGCCGCAAGTCCCCAATATTGTCCATTGTCTTCGACTTGATTTGAACTGTCGTGTAAGTTTGATGCCTGTGACAAGCTGAGAAACCAAACAGAATGGCCAGTGAGGCCTTTGTGATTATAATGTGAAGCAGTGACATCTTGTTTCCCCTGTTGACAGCGCTCAGATTGAAATCTGGCAAGGTGTAACTGATATCTTTTTGTCGGAAACCAATGGTTTTGCTACACGTCGTTGTTACCACATGGCATCCCTTGCGCAAAAATCCTTGCAAGTGACCTCTGCCTGCTGTGTGGGATGCACTGACCAACCACAGGCCAGCAGCTTGAGACGAGCTCTTGAATCCCAAGCAGGTGTCAGTGTTTCCAGAATTTCTGGATGTCTATCTCTGGTCAAATAAATGTGGAGTCTTCAATGTCAAAGGCAGGAACCGTCACAGAGAGAGATATAATATATATATAAAGGCTCACTCCCCAACCGTTGTCCCTTTTTTCTTCGCAAGACCAGATTTGTCAAAAAGTTAAAAGGTTTCATACTGAAAACTGAAAGGTAGACCACTCCCGGGTCTTAAAGTCCTCCCTAAAGGTGCAAGCGACAACGAACACGTTCCAGCTGTTGCCAATCAAGGTCAAACGTTCATCCTGCCATGCTTGGGTCTTTTGCTCCCCCTTAGGATAGCAACTCACCGAATAACCCTTAGGGAACCCCATCAACACTTCCCGTTCTTCACAATTGAGGAGGCGAGCGTTGCGGTGTTTGTCTTTCACCCGGTACTTGTACTGATACTGGTACGGGGGGAACCGATGTAGATCATCTCTCCAGTCCTGTAGTTCTTCTACAGTGCAATGTGCCATTCCAGCAGGCTTTCGTCCTGGCTGTAACCGAGGTCTCGAAGTCGTAAAGGTGGGAAATGGTTCGTCAGAGCACTTGGCCCATCCAATTTCCAGAAACATGGACATGTTGTATTCAAAGTGCAGCTGGACCTCCGTGACCGCCTCCCATCCAACCCCACGGGTTGGGGAGACATGCACTCCTTCCTCTTCTCGAATCTCCCAACTCGGCCAGAAAAGACGAGGTCGACGACATCCACAGACGTTCACCGGATCCACAAGGAACGGACAGGACCCGACTGACTCACTCATCAACGCCCTATCTGATGCGTCCATCGAGGCAACACTTTCCAT